ATATTAATGTATATCCTTACGGTAGTTTTGCAGTTTCCTTCTCAAGGTGACTCAGCCTCCCCTTCAATCAGTGGGCTCTGGATTTGTAAACTGACTTAGATTTGGAAACTAGCTGAGGGATAACAATGTTCCATTATAATGGCTGGTATCAGCCTTCTGCTTATCAATTCATGCATTTATTTTATAAATCAATTAATACCCTACATGGCTGTCCATCTGTCTTAACCCTAGGAATACTCAAATCTATTGATTATTGTCAAAAATCTTTATGGGACAAGGCATCTTCATTGTCACACTGGTATTGCTGTCCATTATGATAATCGTATTTACCTTTGTTCTGTTAGTTGAGTGTTATTATTTTCTTTTTGCAAGACTTCCAAAGCTCTCAAGAGCAGTCAGTCTATTCCCCATTCTGTATTATTATTATTGCTCTCATACTAATCAAATACAGCATCTACATAATATTCTAATTCCTTATCTTCTATCTGCAACTCATCCCAGTTAAGCTTTAGTAACTGTCATGCATGCCCCCACATGGAAGGGTTATTACTATCCTGTTTAACACCCAGAAAACAGTTCTGATTGCCTTTAGATAGGTGGGCTAGTCTCTAAAATCCCATCTGTAAGGGTCTGCTTTTAAAGACTAATCTTGGTACTAGCATTTTTGAACCTATTGTCTCAAGAAAACAAAGTTTAAAGCAAAGGTATGTACACTTTTATGACTGTTTTATGGACTGGTAAAACGGCAGGGAAGCATGAGGAGAAAAAAGAAGTGAGTAGGGAAGATGTAAAAACAAAAAAAGAGATGTGCTACCAAGATGGCCATAGCTTCATTGCAAACAAAGATATTTGCCTGGTCTTCCAGGGATCTCCACAGAGTACATATGAAGCTACTGCCTCTCACAGGAGGAAAGGTGAACAATGCTGGCTTCTTTTTGTCTCCTGTCTCAGTGGTCAAGATTTACCCTACTCTAGACATGAACTCTCCCACACTTCGGGGTTGTAGTACCCGTTCCTCTAAGCAGCTTCTTAGGAGGGCAAAGCCTCTGCAGTCCATTTTGGCCAATGTGCTTCAGTCTTTCCTCCTAGTCAGAACTACACGGGGGCCCCTCGGTGTGTGGGGGCAGGTTAGCAGCAAGGGCTGTGGCTGTGACTTTATGACTGTGAGACCTCGTAGCGTTTTTGTGAGAATTTGGTCAAGTAATATCCAATGCCTGGTAGTCAGTAGGCACTCAGTAAATGTTAGCTATTATTATGAATAGTAATTAAGTTAATTTTGTGTGTGTGATTCTTACATGATATGGCTGGTAGGAGCATGTCCCCCATCCCTTCTAAGCCTTTGTTAAGTACCACTGTGCTCAGTCGCACACTGACATAGCCAAATCTAAGCAACTCAACAGTGCCAAGAGCTGTGGTCCACAGCAGCACAGGGCAGTCAATCCACAAGAATGACAACCACCATCTAGGCAGCAAATAATTATGCAATGAAGTGCACTGCTTTTATAGAAATATGACTGGTGATAATGCCTTGCATTCTCTAGCCACCCTAAAACATTCTTTTAAATATTTAACTTGTCTCTGAAACCTACCAAGGAAATAAATTGATAGTGATTTTTGTTCTATAAATCATAGCGACATAGCTCAAAGATAGTTTGCCCATTCACAGAGTCATACATTTGCTTGTGAAACCATCAATACAGGAGTCCTCAACTGTCAAGTGTCTGAAGAATATATTTTCTGTGGGAAATTCATGACATTGTCCTCTGAGTTTGGTTAATCATAAATAAATATTCTTCATTTGATGAATAATTCAAATCTAAGTCTTGTCGCCATGGAAAACAAGGCTCTCTCCTCCCATTTTTCTTAATCAGGCACTCAATGCCACAGTCATAATGTTTACTTCCCTTCAGGGAACAACAGCTCTTGACAAGTGGAAATATGACTTCAGCAAAAAAAACTCCACTCTGTATTTGTTAAACTGCTTCAATATTATGTTTTGATTCCTGCTTTGAATTTATGGAAAGGATTTTTATAGTCAAGGGAAATCTACTGATGAATGTGAGAGGTATGAACCTTGAGACAGTGACAAAGCACATTTTGGGCTCTAAAGAAATACACCATTTACTTGTCTGGAAGCAAGAGCTGAGTTTTTAAAAATAGAAACTGATATCAATCTAATAAAAATATTAGCAGTAACATATATTTAGGTACTTTTGTATCAATTTCCTAAACTATGCTTTCCTGTTGATGACAGATGTTTATCATGAGTGTCTGGCAATTGTGTTGAAACTCTTTGATGACCTGTCTGGGTGTGGTGACCTTGGGAAGATGAGACAGGTAGACCACTTGAGCTCAGGAGTTCAAGACCAGCCTGGGCAACATGGCGGAACTCTGCCTCTACGAAAATTACAAAAATTAGCCAGGCATGGTGGCGTGCACTTGTGGTCCCAGCTACTCAGGAGGCTGAGGGAGGAGGATCACTTGAGCCTGGAAGATGGAGGTTGCAGTGAACCAAGATCACGCCACTGCACTCCAGCCTAGGTGACTGAGTGAGACCCCATCTCAAAAAAAAAAAAAGGAAACTATTTGATGACCTAGTTGTTACCGTTCCTGGATTTACATCGCTCCCATTACCTGACAACAGATTTGGCTCCATCAGTTCTGATCTTTGGTCTTACACCATAAACATGGCATGGAGCTTCCTGTCTGAATCCCTCAGGCCACCCTCATCAACAACCAGCTGGATCCAACCCATTCCCTAACCCCACCCCTGAGCCTACCTCTGGCCTTTAGGAGTCAGACATACACAGGACATGGAGCCAGGTGCCACCGAAAAGAAACATAAGAAATTTATGATAGAGATATGGAGAAACTATTTGCTTTTGTCTGCACAGGCTACTAGGATAAAAATACCTTTGACTAGGTGTCTTTTAAACAAAAGAAATTCATTTCTCACAGTTCTGGATATAGGAAGTCCAAGATTAAGGCACTAGAAGATCTGGTGTTTGATGAGGGCCAGTTCCTCTTCATCATCTCACAGCCATCATCTTACTGTAACCTCACATGGCAGAAGGGGCAAGGGACCTTTCTCAGGCCTTTTTAATAAAAGCACTAATTCCATTCATGATGGCTTCGCCCTCATGGCCTAATCCCTTCCGTAAGAGCTCCACCCTCTTGTTCCGCCTCCTAATATCTCCCCGGGGAAGTAGAATTTCAACATGTGAATTTCAGGACACACCAACATTCACGGCGAGACCCTATCTCTACAATCATAAAAAAATTAGCACATGCCTGTGGTCCCAGCAACTCAGGAGGCTGAGGCAGGAGGACTGCTTGAGCCTGGGACGGGAAGCTGCAGTGAGCCCAAATAGTGCCACTGCACTCCAGCCTAGGCAACAGAGCCAGAACCTGCCATAAACAAATAAATAAATAAAATAAATGAGGTAGCTTTACAAGTACTGGCCTAGAAAGATGTCCATACACATTAAGCAACAAGGGCAGGTTGTAAACAACAGGCACCAGAGAGGCTTTACGGTATACTTTAAACAACAGACTGCCCATTCGGTGACGCAACCTGACTCTCTCCTCTCCTCAACCCCGCGGTCTCCTTTCCTCACTACTCCTCCCCTAACACAGCGCCTTTCCATGATCTTGCGTCTTTTTCTCTCAGGGACAGCTCTTCGCTCAGCGTCCCGGATCAGAACCCGGGTAAACTAGCTGCGGACGCAATGCGCTGGCGTCGCAGAACCGCCCAGAACGCAGAGTGGGCGTGTTTTCCCCGCCCCCAGGGCGGAGCCCGAGACCGGTTGGTCCCAGTTAGGGGCCTCCCAGGATTGACTGTCCCTTCCATCCAACCCAAGTGGTCCAACCCGCTTAGGTCACTTCCGGCCTCGCCCGGAAGCGCCTCGCCCTGTGGTGTTTTTTGAGGACTCTGTCAGCTCTTGTTTTTCCTGTTCCTTCCTGCTTTTGACAGTGTTCTGCAGACACTGGTGTTAAGATTGGCATGCTTCCCGCATTTACAGCGAAGCTGTCTAAGAGGGAGGGTTTAGGCCAGATTTACTTTAAGAATCCGAGAATTAAAAACCGAATTAAAAAGTTGGTCTTCGCCCTGGAGGAAGATAAAGAGCCCTCTCCATCTCTCATGCTTCCTTGTGTGAACCGAATTTCATACATTACTCAACAAATCGATACCCATGAACTCAGGTACCTTAACCGTGGTAATAGCATTATTACTACTATAATCTATAATAGTATTACTATAGTATTAAAGTAAGTATAGTAATAGCTATTAGTAGCAGCTAGTAGTAATAACCATACATTAGACTCGCAGCGAGCAGTCACTGTTTTGATCCCTAATGTGGTTTGATTGCTGCCTCGGAAACTCATGTTGAAACTTAATACCCAACGTGGCAATATTAAGAACTGGGGTCTTGAAGAGGTGATTCGGTCATGAGGGCTCTGCCATCCTGAATGGACCAATCCATTCATGGGTTAATGGGTTATCACGCAGAGGGATTGGTGAGTTTATAAGAAGAGGATACCTGAGCTAGCACTCTGAGCCCCCTCACCATGTGATGCCCTACATTACCCCTCACTCTGCAGAGTCCCAACTGGCAAGAAGCTGTCACCAGGTGCGGCCTCTTGACCTTGGACTTCTCAGCCTCCTTAACGGTAAGAAATAAATTCCTTTTCTTTATAATACTATTACTATAATATTATTCTTCATAAATTACCTAGTTTCATACATTCTGTTATAAGCAACAGAAAACAGATAATCCCCTTACAACAATGTCACTATCTTTACCCCTAAGGTGGGTCCCACTATCCTTATTTTATAGATGAGGATGCCAAGGCACAGAGATGTTAAGGAACTTGTCCAAGATCACCTAGTGATAACTGGCAGAGCTTGAATGAGAATTCAAGCAATCTGGCCTCATGTCCAATAGCACCAACCATTGCATTTTACTTCCTCTCAGAAATAAACCAGGCATAGAGTAAAATTCATCTGTAGTTCAAGAAACAATTTATTGAAGCTTTCTTTTTCGGTCAAGTTTGGAAAACACGGGAGAGAGGATAGGAATGGAGACTGAGAAGATGACCAAGTGGTTCTGAGCTCAGAGGATTGGGAAATTGAAGGAGGTAGATTAGCTAAGGGAACATACAAGTACCTGAAACCTTCTAAAAATTTTTTTTTGAGGTGAAATTCACATAACATAAACTTAGCCATTTTGAAGTGAACAATTCAGTGACAGAACATTCACAGTGTTGCACAACCACCACTTCTATCTAGTTCCAAAACATTCCCGTCACCCCAAAGGAAAACCCCAAACTCGTTAAGGAGTTACTCTTTAATCCCTTCTTCCCCAGTCCCTGGCAACTGCCAGTCTCCATTCTGACTCTATGGATTTACATATTCTAAATATTTCATATAAATGTAATCATACAATAATAAGCCTTTTGTATCTGGCTTCTTTAATTTAGCATGTTTTCAGGGTTCCTCTACATAGCATACATCAGTACTTCATTTTTTTAAATGAGTGAATAAAATTCCATTGTGTGTACATAACACAGTTTATCTATTGATAGACATTTAGACTGTTTCCAATTTTTGGCTGTTGTGAATAGTGCTACTGTGAACATGCATGTACATGTACTTGTTTGAGAAGTTAGTTTCAATTCTTTTGAATATATATGTAGGAATAGAATTGTGGGGCTATATGGTAATTCTGTGTTTAACTTTTTGAGGAACTCCTATATCCTTTTGAAACCCTTCCTTAAGGCTCTAATATTGATATAATAAATATATTAAATATAATAAATATAAATATTTTGAATCAGACTTTCTCAGTCTCAGCATTGTTGACATTTGGGACCAGAGAATTCTTTGTTGTGGGAGGGCTGACCTTTGGTTATAGGAATTTTAGCAGCAATATTGGCCTCTACTCACTAGATGTCAGTAGCATCCTCCCACTTAAGTCACCAATAATGTCTGGAGACATTGTCAGATAACTTCTGAAAAGCAAAATTGGCCCCCTTCCCACTAAAAATTACTGTTTTAAAGGATTCCCCATAAACTTGGAGCAAATGTGGCTGGCACTAAAGCAGAATACTAAAACAAAGTAATGACCTTTAAGAACTGCATATTCCTTAGAAGTCTTCCTGAGTATACAGGAAGTATTTTTTGTTTACTATGTAATGATGTTTAGAAGTTTTTAGATTTACAAATGTTTGACAACCAGAAAAGTCTTATTAAATATTCATATACCTTTCAAATGTAACATCAGTAATAAAAATCCGTCTCATCCACAACGCTAAGAAATAGAGCTTCTCCCCCATCCCAGGCACATTACATACTAAATCACATTTATAGCATACTGCATCACATATTTTTAAGATGGCAACTAGGAGCAAGATTTGTAAGGTTTTTTTTGATATCATAATATTTATTTTTTCAAATAAAAGTTCAGGCAGGGCCCATGAGGAATGTCATTTTTTTGGTTCAGCCAAATAATGGAAAAACAAAAGCTACTTTCCATTATTGGGATACAGCGAACCAAAATGAATCTTTTACATTTCTTGTTGAAGATCTTGAGTTAGTTGTGGGAAACCGGAGTATGTAAACACCTTTGCCATCACAAAGCTGTTAAGATCAAAACTGTTACGGAAATGGATCAAGCAGCCTTAGGCACAGATGGTATTGTTGTAGAATCCACAGCAGTTACTAAGGGCCATGGCACTGAACTCCTTGTCTTCCCAGGGACCAGAAAAAGAAGGAGGGTTGGTGCCATTCAGAGAAGTACTGCAAAGAACATCCAGAGAGGTACATATTGGGTCAGTTAGGAACAAAGCAACAAAATATACCAGTAAGTTATACTAAGGAGCTGAAAACAAACAAACAAAAAAACCTGTAAATGGATCCATCAGCCGTGACCAAATAAACAAAACCCAATTACATTTCTTTTCTCATTCATTCCCAAGATAATACTAGCAAGAAACCCTAAACTATGTGTCTGTTCCTTTTCCCAATTCCTAACCACAGTCCATTTGGAAATTTCCAGATATCCCTGAGTCAGAGTGTATGACTTATAATGATTTAATATTGAATTTATTCTAAAAAGTAAGGTGGTATTCCAAGGCCACCTTCCTCTTGAAAATAGCTTACACTAAATTAGTATAAATTAATTGGACAAAAACATTACATCTTTCATATTCTAGATGCTAATGATCTTTAGTATGTGGCTTTAGAAATCCACCAAAATGCCACAAGAACATAAGAATCAGGCAACATGATGAATGCTCGTCTTTACAAAAAGTAAAATTAGCCAGGCATGGTGACGTGTACCTGGCCTGTAGTCCCAGCTACTTTGGAGGCTGAACTGGGAGGACTGCTTGAGCCTGGGGCAAGATTGTGCCACTGTACTCCAGCCTGGGCAACAGAAGAAGATTGTGTCTCAAACAAACAAAAAGAATCAAACTATGCCAGAGCAATGATGACTCCAGCTCATAACTCATCTTTTTTTTTTTTCAGATGGAGTCTCACTCTGTCACCCAGGCTGGAGTGCGATGGCACAATCTCAGCTCTCTGTAGCCTCCACCTCCCAGGTTCAAGCAATTCTCCTGCCTCAGCCTCCCAAGTAGCTGAGATTATAGGCGCCCGCCACTACGCCCAGCTAATTTTTGTATTTTTAGTAAAGACGAGGTTTCATCATGTTGATCAGGTTGGTCTTGAACAGCTGACCTGAGGCGATCCCCCAACCTCGGCCTTCCAAAGTGCTGGGATTACAGGCATGAGCCACCACACACAGCCATAACTCATCTTTAATAGTGCATCAAAAGAATTTTTTAAAAAATATGTTGGTTGCCTTCTCTGATGATAACCTCCAAACACAGGAGGGGCCCCATTCATTAACTTGGCCCAGTAACCTGTTAAGCAACTAGTACCTGAATATCTACCTATATGGTGAACAGATGACTTAATAACTTCCAAATGTTTGTTTGTTTGTTTGAGACAGGGTCTCATTCTGTCACCCAGACTGGACTGCAGTGGTGTGGATCACAGCTCATTGCACCCTCTAACTCCTGGGCTCAAATGATCCTGCCACCTCAGCATTCCAAGTAGCTGGGACTACCAGCACACACTACCATGCCAGGCTAGTTTTTTTTTTTTTTTTTTTTTTTTTTTTTTTTGGGTTTTTTTTTTTTTTTTTTTTAAGACACAGTCTTATCTGCTGCCTTGGCTGGAGTGCAATGGCATGATCTTGGCTCACTGCAACTTCCGCCTCCCAGGTTCAAGTAATCCTCCTGCCGTAGCCTCCCAAAGTGCTGGGATTACAGGTGTGAGCCACTGTGTCCGGCCGATAACTTTAAAATGTATCTCCCGCTCTGATTTCTCTCTGGAAGCCCAGACCTGAGGTGGTTTTTGAGTACCTTCATAGGGTGCTCCTGCAAATACCTCCAAGTTAACACATCAAAAACTGAATTAAGGCTTGGCATGGTGGCTCAGGCCTGTAATCCCAGCATTTTGGGAGCACAAGATGGGATGATCATTTGAGGCCAGGAGTTCAAGACCAGGCCAAGCAGCAAGTGAGACCCCATCTCAATTAAAAAAATATACAAAATGAAAACTGAATCAAGCCATAATCTCTCTCTTTTACTCCCATTCCTGAAACTAGTCCTCTTCTGTGAATGAATGGCACTCTTTAGACCCACTTGCTCATGCCAGAAAAAAAGATAGTCATTTGAGACTCCTTCCTCTTCATCACCCCACCTCTTCCTCCTATCTAGCCAATGACCAATCCTATTAATTCTACTGGATCTAGTGTATCTGCAACTTCACATCCACTTAGTATCAATTCTTACTGTCTCTCACTAGGACTATTACAGCAGGGTATTTGTTGGACTCCCTGTCATCCAAATGACTACCAGAATGATATTTTGAAACAGCATAGTTGATCATGCCAGTGTTCAGAATTCAGCAGGTCAAAACCTAAATTTCATAAAAGGCTTCTTATAATCTCTCAGCCTTTTTTCCCACAACTCCCTTCACTCACCCATATATTACCACCAATACACACACACCTTTTGATCTGAAGGCACCAAACATTCTAGTTCCTCAAATCCTTCCTTTTGTGTGTTCCAAAACTAGTTCTTTTGGATTAATGATATATCCTCTTATTTTCATATTCTAGATTTTGGTAAACAAGTTCATTTTTACACTACCTGTATTCATCATGATTTTATAAATTTAACTTTATCCTCTCTCAGTCTTCATTTCTGTCTGAAGAAATCTATAATATTTTAGCCACTTATAACCATTGCTAAGTCTTTACCTATAACCTGTCTGTATTCCAGTCACAATAAGTAGAGTAATTTCTTTTTTTAAACTTAACATAAAATAGAGACAAGGTCTCACTATGTTGCCCAGGCTTGTCTTGAACTCCTGGACTCAAGCAATACTCCCGCTTCAGCCTCCCAGATTGTGGGACTGGATGTGTAAGCCACCATGCCCAGCCAGTAGAGTAATTTCTTATCAGTGAAAGCATTCTTCTTTACTTCTTCCCTTGCTGCTCTGCTTCTCAGTAGCCCGCCAACACAGGTAAACCCTGTCACTGGAGCATACTAAGCTAATAATGAAGATGCACTCTATAAGAGAAAAGAACACTGATCTAGGCCATTACCAGTGCCCACAGCCCTTCTCATACACTATTCAATCTCAACAGGATTACCCTGGAGACCTGAGGACCATGGGTAAGAAAAGGGAATGGGGTCCTGGTGCTCACCTCTGAAAGAGCCCTCTGCAGCACATGTAGGTCTCGTAGGTTCTATTGGTGAAACTTGTGTTTAGGAAGGAGACACAGTCAGCTTCAGCTCCCCTGGGGACATAGAGGATTCCTGGATAAAGGAGACAGAGATACCAAGGGAAAGATTTGACACATGCTTCTCAAGGCTCTTCATTCTTTCTGTACGAATTGAGGACACTGTTGATTAGGTGCCTTTGCCATGTTTCTGTGGAATCGATGGGTAAATCAACATTCCGAAAGACATCCTGTCATGATCTAGGGAAGTGATCTCTGCTGCCCCTGTACTCAAGGACAATTCCACCTTCCTCATATTATTCCTCCAACCATCACCCTTATGCAGCAGTATCTCCATCAGGGCTGAGGCACCTACCTGCCACACAGGCACTGATAAGGGATACACAGGCCCCTGTGAAGAGGGCTCTGACCACAACCTTGGACAAGTCACTCTTCCGGTGAGGTACTATTGATGCTGCAGACAATAAAATAAAATAATTAAAGCTTTTTCCCACCAGGCAATCAGGTAAATCCCATGAGTCCTGACTTAGAAGAAAGCAGAGGAACAAAACACAGCTGATGAAGAGCATCCTTATTACCATCCACCTGAGACTGGCCAGTGTTGCCCTAAGAAGTGTGTGTATACATTTGTCCTGAGGGATCACTAACTTAGA